CCTCCTGTGTGATCACCAAAATATTTGTCCCCCTCCCCCATTTATCTACCGTTCATAAGTCCAGCATCGCGTCAACCTCGTTGAGGTTTCGTCAATGTTCGAAGTGCATTGTTGCGCGTTATTACTGGCAAATTTTTGTCGGTCAGTTTTGAAGAACGCATATCCTTTCAAGTCACGCAGGCAGACGCGTCAGACCGTGTCTCCAACGTTCCACATCCTCTGCCAGCGTTTGAACTTCGGTGAAAGAGATCCCACGTTTTACGTAAAGTGCCACGAGTGAATCTCGGCCTTCCGCTGGGTCTTTGGCTCGTGTTTGGGCAAATGGCAGCAGTTATGCTGTTTCTCCTTCATTTCTTAAAGCATTCGTAGGACTTGTCCCAATGATCGCAGCTGCCACTTCTCAGCCTGTGACAATTGCGGCGATCGTGAAAATCGACCCTTGTAGCTGCTCACTTTGGCCATGCTATTTGGGCCAGTTCCTTTGGCTAAGGGACATGTCCAGAACGGATAACTGCATACAGATTTTCTTGTACTGCCACAAGGCACAAACGTTCCAAGGGTTCAGCCGATGCTACCAGCCCTGCTCAACCGGAAGCAATCAGTATGACATGCAGAGATATGATAATACATAATAGTTAAAGCATATTAGCAATTGATGTTCTTCTCTTTGTCTGGAGTTTATACATGTCACGTGATATATGAGAGATATAAGTTCTTTTGCGTCTGTTCATGACGTTTGATTTTGTCTGGATCAGGTTTTATTGCACTGCATTTATTCCGTCAATCTCTGGCCCGGTGCACTGGTTAGTAAACTGTAATTTTTATTTAACATGCATATACACATTATCGCAAAGTATCGGCTTCAGAGCACACAAGCGATTACCATAGCAACCGTGAAATAACCACAGCCTAGGTCAAAGCGTTTATAAATCTGCACAAAACATCATTTTTTGCTTCAGAGATATTTCCGTGGATAATGATTCCGCCGTCACAGCGGATGGGTCCATAATTCGGATAGGAGGCAGACCTGCTTTCTTGTTGAGGATTATTTCCTTCAACAATAGAGTAGCCGGTGCATCATAGCAAACTGTAATAATAGTTGTAAAACTGCGAACATGACGGACTTTACACACCAGAAGCGCTCTGCTTATGCAAATGGCACAGGGTGTTGATCACATGCATCCGTATGTCGCTGAGGAGTCTTAATGAAAAGATCGACGGCACAAAAGTCTTAAAACGAGAAGGATCAGACAAAAGAAATTTACTGAGACTTTGGAGGACTTTGGTATGAAATGGTCTGAGCTAAAGCTCCGGGAAGCTTTTCGAAAAGGAGTTGTCTACTTCTATCACATCGTTTTAATAAGTTTGTTTATAAAAGGGATATACAGGCCATTAGGATGTTTCGGCTAAATTCGCTATTGGTACTTAACAAAGAGAAATGCACAAGACAGAAGATTGTTCATTTTCTAAGTAGAAGATGGTCAATTCGTTCGTCCGTTTCCTCACGTGCTTGTTCATTTACTCATCTATCATTTAATCCACTTTTAAATTCGTTCAATAATTACGTCATTGAATCATTATTCCGTTTGTTCGTCTATTTAACAGTTTATGCATTTCCGTGCTGGACCATTCTCTCATTTGCTTCTTTGTTCAATCAAATATCAACTACTTCATCAAATCTACTTCTTAATCCATCTTTGTGCTCCCTCCTCTGTCTACACGTTCACTTGTCTATTGATTTATTAGGTCGTGACCTCTGCCGATCCGTTCGTAATCACTGACAAGATGGAACAGTCGTAGAAAACGCAGTTTCTTTCTACACAAGACACAATTCATGCTGCTTCGTGTGTGATTACATCAAGCGAGCAAAGTAGGCAACAGAACTGCGAAATATTTAAGTAGTCTTGGGCATTTTCACAATATCGAATCTCGTGGAAGATTCCACCGCCTAAAGAACATGACAAATCTGCTATTACAAACAATCCGTCGAAATACGTTCCAGATCTTCCCGATTCAGCACAGGTTGCATTTACTGAAATTAAGGAACGTTGCGTTTTCTGAAGCTGAAGCAGCTGAGTAAAGAGAGGTAGCGTAGTTGAGAGAGTTGATGCTAGTTATTACAGTAGGAAATGCTAGTTGAGTCTGTTCAGGTATACGACGCGGAATGAGTATGGCACAGAAGCGTCATTTACTAAAGTGTATTTTTGTTTATCGATATCAATTGTCATGCAACCAAGCAACTGAGTTTGCTTGTCTTTCTCTGGTCACGCGATCCTCCCAAGCCGAGCACCGAAGATGCAGCCAGCAGCGAGTTGAGCGTTGAATTTTAGTCGTCGATTTTAGATGGCAGTGCTGCTCTGGCGCGGTTCGCTTTGAACCTCTTACAAAACGATGCGGCTCAAATGGTCATTAATTAGTGAGGCGACTGAAAGCTGATTGCTTGCAGATAATAACTATTTGACGAGCAGTTCTGTCGAGGATGATGATTGAGTTAGAGACGAGTAAAGATGCGCATTCAGCGAGCTCTAATTAACATTAATGACGTTTACATGTTAATCACCGCCCAATAATCTACCTCAGTGCGGAGGTCACGAAAAATCACTTGTATCTCATTTTCTTACTGCATTTCTCGACCAGAAATGAAAGCCCATTTTTAAGAAGCATTGGCACATCCTGCGCTCTGCATTTCGTGGCCATTAATGGCGATTCGATATTGTCATTCCTCTGCCCATATCTTCACCGAATGGACTGATGAAGAAAAGGAACATATGTACTGGACGAACATATTACCGATTATGTATTGAGAAGGAAGGCTAAAATTTATTACTACCACAGCTGCTCATAATGATGTAGTACCATTTCATCGAAGTGAACAACAATTTACTAATCACTGAAGATGCCAACTTTGCATTAATACTTCAAGCTATTTTTACTGAACAACAACTCTGAATACTCTCTACTTTCGCGCGAACTGAGAAGTCAAGATAAACCTGGATAAAATTTTTTGAACTCGTAATCAAATTAATAACTATAAACAACTGAGAAGAACCTACAGATCAATGCATATTGTAGTTTTGCCTAGATGAGATTATTGCTTCTGCTTTATTTAACATCTGACGATGCAGGAATACTATGAATACAAGATTTTGTGTAAAGTTACAAGTTACATTATGTGCAGTATTTTAAATTATAAAGCAAATCAAAACGGATCACATGTTACACTCCTTGTCATGTCTCTAAGCGCTGCAATAGCTCGTAGGGACGTTTCCATAAAAATTTTGGCCCAGTATTCAAGCTGACAAAATCTGAAGTGATAAATGCCAAAGAGCAGCATAAACGAGAACTATTGTGTGTGATAGTCCTTCAAGCCCTGCGCCAGGGTCTACAGTACAGTAGTTAAGATAATCATTTCCTCAAAATGATAGGCCAATTATAACAATTTTATTTTAGTCATATTTTACCATTTTTGTAAAGGAAGTATTCATAACTGAATGCATGCATATCTGAAGACTTCGGCAGACGTCGCCTCGCTATTAAACCACTATCTGCCGGAAGGGGTGCAGCACGGGATGGCAAAGTTTACGCTGTTTCCCTCAGTTCTTCAACAGCTTGCACTATCCTTAGAGCAGGCTTTAACTAGACCTCGACAAAACACCTTTGAATCGAGCACGGCTGCTTGAACGAATGCTGTCATCGAGAGTGGCAATAGATTCGTTCCCCACATGGTTTACAGCAAACAGTCCACTGATTCTTTGTTTCGTGATGTATATAGAGCCTTTTGATTTGCGTGCACCTCCGTTGTATTTAGGCACCCGTTTCACATGAATAAATGTTAAATCCAGGAATTGGGCTGAACACAGGTGTATAGTGAGACTTTGAAATTGTCATACGTAAAGCGTTTCTTGGCATGCTACTGCCTTGCAGAATGATTTGCCTCCTCTTCAAGGACAAATGTCTTCCAAAGCGGATTTGCCCCTACAACGCTGCATACGGGCCTGCTGATCAACATCGACTGTCTCACACACGAGCAAAAGCACATTGGCACCGTAAATGACGGTTTTTCTTTGAGTACCGTAACTGGTTTTGGTGGTCCCACAGAAACCTATGTTCAATCAAATGCCACGCAAAATACTTACCATTTGCAATTTGTAATCAACTAAACTAAAGTTGGTTTACTGCCAAATGCCGTAGATGATCACTTAACGAGTCATTACTCCCTGTTCAGTGACAACGACTCACCGGCCCATTGTTTCTAGATGTCAAGGGGATGATTTAGGCAGGATACAACACAGCAACACCGAACAAGATCGAACCAAATGCGTCCGTATACCAGCTCGAAGTTACGGCACAAGCCAGCTGATATGCTGATATGGCATCAGCCATGATGCTATATAATCTGAAGGCACTACTACAGGCTTAAAATTGATGGCTTCAGCAAGATAGCTTTAATCTGGTTTTTCGTTGAACCGTGTGCTTTAATGCAGCTTACTTCTTCAGCGTGCCAGTGTGTCTATTTCGATGGATTTGGACACCTATCGAACGGGACGTTTCTGTCGCCGAACTATCCGGTACCGTACGACAGCGACATCCCTTGTATACTGTACACGTTCATCGGTGGCGAGGAGGAAATCGTCGAACTGCGTTTCCAGTACTTTCAGCTGCAGTTGCCAGAGAAGGACGGAAAGTAATTGAGACGGAGCGTTTTCTTTCGACATGTGCGTTTCGCAATCGCTGTTCATCGTCCTCTCGCTCGTTTCAGCTGCCTCGACTACGTGCGAACGTTCCAGGAGTTGGACGACGAGTACGTGAACGAGTACACGCGCTGGCAGCAGACATTCTGTGGCTGCCAGGCACCGCCTTCGTTCAGTCTGTTCTCCGTCGGGCCGTCGCTGGTGTTCGAATTTCATTCCGACTCGTACCGAAGCCCGTACGACATCGGCTTTCTGGGCACCTTCCACTTCCGCAGAAAAAGTGACCGCACCGTTTGTTTCTGTTACGAGTGTCGAACGTCGTGATCGATCGACCGATCGACCAGTCAGGTGTTTCGCATACGACTTTGTCAAAAGCGCACAAACATCCTATTTGCTATCATTAATAACATGTTTTCTGAGGTTAATAAATGAGTACCACTTTGACAAGTGATTGGGACTGATAACTGAGTTGGAAGGAAACCAAAAGAATACAGACTACGCTCGTCACATGCCTGTAGTAGATTTTGCCATCGATAAATAAAGCGTTGTTGCCTGATAATATGGAAATGAATATCAGGCCACCATTACACAACTGATTTCATGAAAACAAGGGCCGTAGAATTTGCCCAATCATATTAAGTGTAAGGTAGAGAGCAAATCCCCGTAGCAAGGAACCGTCTCTGCCGAATCACATTCAAAACGAAGCATGAATTCGTCAATGGGTTGTTTACGTCGAATTTTATATCCACTGTACTGATGCATTCCTGCCCAGAGTTCTTTCGGCTTTTTCTGATCGAATAAATCCTAGAAGCGTAGCTGATGAATATACTGGATTTCCTTAGAGGTCTGCTAACGAGGGCATTTGAATAATGAGATGTCACCGGCACGATAGACCCTCTCCCTCGGACGGCGTAGATTTTTTATTGCAGGCGCCGTCACGAACTTCCGGTTGACTATGACCTCAAGGAAAGGGCTGCAGTTGTTGCACACGAAGTTCATGTAAGAGCCAATAGATTTGTTCGGGCGTTTAGTGTTGGGCCATCAAAAATCGACCAGCCTGTTGTGGCGAACATATCTTGCGTTTCCGGACTTCTGCAGGGTAGAAAAGATGTTGTCTCAAATGATGAACTTTAGGGGCGGAGTTTCGCTGACCCATTTTACTGTAGGTCGCCAGGATTAGTCTACAGACATAGTTATCGGAGGCATTGCAGCAGAATGGGCTACCGACAGTGAACGGAAAGTGACAATGTTGGACAACCTGAACGATGTGGCAAATGCTTTGCTGTGTCTTCTGAAATCGCCCGCAACTACTGACAAGCATCTTCCCAGAAAGGATGATAAAAAGCATTGATTAAAGAATGTTAATTGTGAGGGAATACAACCGGGAACTATGTAAACGTTTGCCAGAATCACGTTCGAACATTTTGGCAAGGAGAGAACGGCACACATTAGGAAAAGACATTAAATGCCCCCGGTTAAATTTTGCAGCAGAATCGAATCGCGCGTGCCACTTCTGGTTAATCTAAGTGGCTACACCCCC